ACAAAATAGCAACAAAAAAGACTAAGCTAAAAGCACAATTTCTGATGTTCTGAACGATCACAGAGACTTATGCAAATGAATACTCGCCTCAATGTCTCCAACAAGAGCAAAAGCTCGAACAAGAAACTCGATGACTAGAAGCTTTTGATCATCAGTTTTCTCAACAGTTTCTCGAATGATAGATAGAGATTCAAATCTGAGTAATTCTTTTACTCCGGATTTGACATCCATAAAATACATCGTGTCTTTGGAAGCGGAAAAGAATTCCAGAATTCGCAAAGTAGAATCATCGAATCTGTGGAAATCATAAGCAGTAAAGCATCAGAGAAAATGTAACAATCGACAATATACGGAAGATTATCAATGGAAACTCGAATGAAAGAGCTAGAATTAAGAGTGAATAGCCAAACCTTCGGCTTCTAAGCCGTGAACAAAAGAGAGAGTATTGCTCCGCAACTGAACACGGCATCAGTTAATTGGCGGGAAAGACTAGTTCTTCGAAGTCTGAAAATGGGGATGAGCACTTTATATGAAATGACACCGAGACCTAATTTGGTAAATAACCTTGAATGCGTGAATTGTCGGTTTTATCCAAGTATGAAAAAAATCAAGTAAAATTAGTGAATAATTTCTTATTTTATTTTAAAGCGATTTCTCAAAGAAAAAAACATTAATGATGTTAATAACATGAACTAAAATTTTAGAAAGTATCTAATATGAAAATATTTCTTAATAGACATTGATGGAGGATAATTTTAGTGTTAAATAATTTATTATTTATTTTTTATAACACAAAGTAGCAAAAAGGGTATTCGTGTAAATTACACGTACTGCAAGATGGGTTCATAGTCGTGCATAATAAAGTCATATAATAAAATGGTTTTGAACGTAAAGCCCAACTAGTGAAGCCCATTAGTACACATTATCGCCGCACCCGCCACTGCAACCCGGCAACCGGCCAACCAAACTACGACCGGACGGAACCCTTCCAAATAAGGAACCAAAATGTGAAATGCCGTCGCCAAAATTCGTTTTCTCTAATCGTTTGGCTTCGAAATTGATCTGATTGTTTGTAAATAACGAAGAGAATCGAAAGAGGAGGAACACGCTATCTACAGGCATGGCTGGACGAAGCCATCAGCCGAATGCCTTGAAACGACGCGAAGTTCCGTTGAGCCGAAGCCCGACTGACGATCGTCGAGCTCATCATCGTCTTTCTCACTCATCTTCCGTTGGTGGTTCTTCGAGGGCTCACCAGGCTATCCTTGTCGAAGATCGGATATCTGCGCAGCACCGAGAGATTCAAACTCTAATCTATGATAACCAACGGCTTGCAGCCAGTCACGTGGCGCTCAAGCAAGAGCTGGCGGCGGCTGATCAAGAGCTTCGGCACCTATCGGCCACTGCGGCTAAAGTCAAGGCCGAGAGAGACGCTGAAGTGAGGGAGGTTTATGAGAAATCGCTAAAGATGGATGCCGAGGTTCGTGCGATGGACGCGATGATGGCGGAGCTCGTTCAAGTGCGGGCGGATATACAGAAGCTGAGTACCGTCAAGCAAGAGTTAACGGCGGAGTTGCAAGCAATTCGCGACGGCCTTACTAAAGCCTCCTCTGACTCACAGCCATTGCCGCCCATTAAAGGTGAAATTGATAGAATGCACCATGAAATTCAAAGAGGAAGGTAAATTTTGATTACTCCTTTGGATGCTTTTCTTTTAGGAAGTTGTTCTTGTTATCTCTTTCTCCGTTATGGCTCGAAATTGCCTCTTCAAATTAAAGCATCAATATATGTTGAGTTGGCTGTCAAGGTCTCTCCCTTTTCTTGTTCCTGAATTTGATTGTTGAGATACTCCATTCTAATTGTTCTATATCTATATGTTTTCGCCGCAAAGAAGATATCAAATTATCAATTCAAATTTAGAGCCTTAATGCTGTGATGCTAATGCCTTCTCTTTCAATTTTTTGGAAGTTGGTACCTCTTGAACCAATCAAAACTCTTAAAGTTTGTTCATTTGGTCTAGTTGTTTATGTTATCGATATTACTATAGCTTTGAAGAAGTGACACCTCTTCGTAGTGGTTGATTTCAAGTCCCAAATTAATATGTGTTTGCATGAGAGGCTACTTTTGTAAGGCATGGTTCAAGAACATTAAGACTATCTCATCCTACAAATAAAAAGAAGTATGCTTGTTTAAGGAAACAGTCCTAATATCTGTTCACTTGGTGCTAAAACTATGTCTTGTCTAATATTAGATCCTAGGACCCTATTGCATGAACAATAGGTCTTGTCTACTACTAGAGCTGGCACAATTCTCTTCACACAAATATTGTATTAAATATCATGCAAGTTACTTGAACCTTTAGAATCAAAAAGAATACCTTTGAACAAAAAGCTAATGGAAGAAAAAAATTTAGCGGAATGAAAGTATAAGTTAATTTCATTTGACGATTATGGGCATGTGAAAGTTTCATCGTTTTCTATAGTTAACTCCATTGTTTCTACTTGGTTGCTGATTGTAAGACAAAACAGCATGATATTTTGTAACAGAGTGGACAAAAGAATTGGTAGAATCATTCTTTTTATGCAGAAGAAATGCAGTGGAGGAGTGTTATTTTTATTTGAAAGCATAATTGAGATTTGGCATTTACCTCTTGCTATGTGCTGTTGATCTGAACAGGGCTGCTATTGAATATGAGAAAAGAACACACGCTAGTAATCTTGAGCAGAGTGAGGCAATGGAAAAGGGTATGGTTTCCATGTCCCAGGAAGTTGAAAAATTGCATGCTGAACTGGCCAATGCTGAAAAGAGAGCGAGGGCTGCATTAGCTGTAACGAGTCCTTGTAAGCCTGTTTTCCATCCTTGGTAACCTATGCATCATCCTCTTTTTGTCCCTGACTCTCTTTACAATGCAATTTCATTCAGTTCCCGGTTATGCTGCAACTTATGGCCGTCCAGACATGAGATACAGCGGGAGCTCATATCCCTCTGACCCTTATGGCATGCATCAGGTATCTGCTCTATGTCTGTATTAGTTTCATGGCTCAACAATTTAGTGCAGTGCTGGTATTGCCTTGACTCTTGGTAAACACCATTCAAGGGCATTGGAACATGAAGTTTAACTATCAACTATAAGTAACCATTCTATTTAGGCTATGTTTGGGATGCCAAACTCACTCCTGAAGTCGAAAGTATTGTGTTTGAAAGTAATATAAAAACAACTTTTGAAAAAGTACTTACAGAGTGCTTTCAGCCATAGTGTTTGACTAGCAAGAGAAGAGCACTGAGCATCTAAAGATTCGGTTATCAAACACTTGAATGAAGATCTTGTAACTGAAAAAAGCATTTCCAATCATACCTTTATGTGACCAATGCTATGAACCAAGCAACGAGCATGCTCCTTTTTAATGGAACATAGAAGTATAGGAGGGAACATGCACTTAGTTTCTTGCAACTTAAAACAGGTGGAATTTTGGGTTAGGAGTACTGTGACAACCCTTGAATTGATAAGGAAAAACATAGGATTTGCTAGCAGATGTTGTCAGCTTTGATCTGTTATGTATTGTCGTCAGCCTCACAGTTTTAAAACGCGCATGTTAGGTTTCCACACTCTTATAAGTAATGTTTCGTGCTTCTCTCAAACTGATGTGAGATCTCATAATTTTAGCTTAGAGAGTTGCGTATAAGGTTTCTTTCTAACTGCAGTGGGGCCTTGACCTTCAACCTCAACCTCAAAGAAAGGAAGTTGTGTCCTAATCACTAAGCCAAACTCATTTTGGTAGCATAAGTGTTCCATTATATCTATTTGTGTTGCAGATTGATTAGATGTATTCTCAATTATAGTTATCAAATCTCCCTCTACACCTCCATAATATACGATGGGGATCTGTTTCAGGATCAGGGAGGAGCCGGCGTCGACACATATGCACGCGCACCATCAACACATGGACCGCCTTACCACGTACAACCAGCACCACCGCATACACAATGAATGAGCAGTGTAATGCATGGATATGTTATGTGCTTGATGAGGGGGTGGTGCGAAAGGCGTTGTAAATACAGCTGCGGATGCTCTGTTTTTGCATCGTAAGTTCCTTTCATCCAGAGTCGCTGAGGAGGCTTGGCCGCCACTACTATGTAAATTTAACTTGTGACCCATGGCAGTTCTGAAAGGGCGGTCAATATCATGGGTTTCGTTAAGTTTTGACATAATGATTCACTGATTTTTTCCCACCGCAAATGATATTGGAAACATCTTATCATCCTAAGAACCTTGCATTTGAAACATCTTAAGATAATATGGGACAAACAAGCTACTTCTTCATGCATTACTGCATTTTTCTTTTCATCTTTTCCATTTCATTGATTATGAAATGAAATTTATTAGTAGCAATTGATATCGACATCAATACAATGATGAATTATTAAAATAATGATGTTGATATCAATATCAAAAATTTTAATTTACAGATATATCAACACTATTACAATATTAATTTACAGATACATGAAATTCATGTTTTGCTAGCCAATGTATTTTGAATATAGCTTCAACTTTCCAATTTTAAAATTCAAATTGATGACTTAAAATACCATTCTTCAAATGCTTTATACAAGTGACATTCTTTACCCTATCGTTTTGGAGTCAGTTGCCTATGATACAAATTTAGATCTTCACACAATTTCATCTAAAATTCTAGAAAATACTCATCAATATCTTTGAATTGTTTACAAGCGTCTAGTTCTATTGCGACTTAAAATAGTGTTATAATCCCACCTTGAAAACGTACACACAATGTTTTCAGGAATATTACATATCAATCCATATATTGAAAACTCGATTTCGGTCAACAAATGGCGGTTTGTAGCCTAAAAGGCCAGTTCACATTCAAACAGCTTTTATTGAACTGTTGGGATGAGGGATGTTAGAATCTAATCTCGAGTTTCAAATGTTATCTTACAGATTTTCTCTTCTATAAAACACTTAACAGAGCCAAAAGAGATGTATGAAAATAATGAACATACAGAAAATTACCATTCTTTTGCTCATACGAACAAGCTTATGCAAAATGTTATAAACCACGCAACAATGAAAAAACCTCTCCATCCTATATAATTAAACAAAAAGAAAAAGTACAGAAGTTTTTTTTTTACTAACACAATCCAACTCCTATGACACAATTCCAAAGTTATTGCTGAATATTTCCATGGCAGAGCTCCAAAGAAGCCTAACACATTGACCGAATATGAATGGCAGCGCCAGGGCATCACAATCCATGACATTATTTTTGCCTTATCACTTTAACTATAATGAGTCTTTTGAAAATCTGGAGTCCGACATTATTGCACCAACAGCAAAATCCCAGTCCCAAAAACGAAATATTTCCAAAATTCTACGGGTGGCCCACTTAACCATTTTACTTCACATATGTAACTTGCCACACTGTAACCTACGAGTTATTTGTTGATATGATATTGTCTGTTCTCTTTTGAAAAAATTAAATATCACAAGCAGCCATGAACACATGCAAGACGAATTATGGAATAAGACAGATTATACAGTCATCCTAACAAATAAATAATAATAATAAACTATGTCAAGTTAATATTTAGTAACTAAAATATGAATGCAGAAATGATGATTATAGGTTAAGATATGCTTGCATTAGGAGCCAACAGAGATGTATCTGAGCTCAGGTGGAGCTTTATACATCAGAGCCACTCGTGCAAAATTCTAAGAATGGTTATGGAAAGAGAAGCACTCACCTGAAACATCAACACCTACCTTAGCAACAAGCAGTTTGGAGATTATCCGCCTGCCTCTATAAAAAAAACATTCACACAACTACATTAATCTCAAGCCCAAGCATGATTATAATCCTCCAGGTAACACTATATTAGATAAAAAGGAGCAAGCAAAGAGGTCTCTTGCCCAAGAAAGTGAACAACCTACCTCTTTGGTCTCCAATTCAAGAATCCAGCCATGGAACAAAATTAAAACACTAAGATCACAATTCCCATTACATAAAATGCTCAATGCCGAATTTCTCAGTAAGGACGAGATCTATTTCCACCATGCTGATGTCTATCAGGTCCAGAGGTTCCGTCCCTATAGCTATCTCTGCGCCTATCCCCACCACCTCCATATCCACCACCTCTACCACCACCACTGCAACATGAAGGGACAAGTTATGCAGGTGAAGTACAAAATCAGCTCTAAAGCATAATAATTATACAAACAATATAAGTGAACGCACATCCAGACAGTTGAAGTATTTAAAGAATGTGTACCATTCTAAACAAAACCATTTATAAATGTAACAGAAAGTACTTCTATATTCAATTCTACATTGTTCGAGGAGATTTTGAATCCTCCTTTTCGTGATAAAGGAAGGGCTCATTGGCAGTCTTGTTTTTTTTTTTTTTTTTTTTTTTTTTTTTTTTTTTTTTTTTTTTTTTTTTTTTTTTTTTTTTTTTTTTTTTTTTTTTTTTTTTTTTTTTTTTTTTTTTTTTTTTTTTTTTTTTTTTTTTTTTTTTTTTTTTTTTTTTTTTTTTTTTTTTTTTTTTTTTTTTTTTTTTTTTTTTTTTTTTTTTTGGCTTTGTTATGGGCCATTTCGCACAATCTTTGGAGGACCTTTTTGTTTTTTATTAGGTTTAACTCATCCTTGTGGGCATTTGTTAATACAATTATTTGTAGTTACCAAGTTAGTATGATTCTTCTGGATGGGAGCCCCTTAGTATAATTGGGCATGAAGGTTACTTTGATTTCTCAGGCTTCATTTTTGCATCAACCCACCCCTCACACTCGAGAACAAGGAAATGGGAACCTACTAAAAAATTAGCCCAGTTGGAATTTATGGAAGAAATGACAATCACAAAAAGAATTTTGAGAGAACAGAATCAAATAATTCATCCTAAACACAAAAAAGGACAAATACACACTATTCCTAATCACAGGAGTATGACAGGCTAATTTAATTCAAAGCCTACTTTTTAAATATATTTGGGTTTCAAAGCAAAAAACCAAAACAAAGTGCATCATTGATAGGATCATGTATGAGACATGAAGGCCATATTAACTATTGAGAATTCACATAGAAACAAAACCGAATTCCTAGATAGCATGAACTCGGGGACAATCAAACAGAATCTCATTTTAGCCAAAACTGCATCTTGTTTCTTTGTCTGCCTGTGTATATGTATATGAACAAGAAAGCTAAGGGAGAGTAACAGTTGCAGAAATGAGAACCAAAAATCCTCTCAGCTCTTACTGGTAATTACATTTGCCAATTTCTTAGGCTTATCAACAAAAAACAAGCAAGAAATAGTGCAGTATAAATTTCAGGATATATGCATGCGTTAACTCTACTTGGACTTGTTTATTTGTTTTGAAAGAATAATGCCAAAGCAAGTACCCATGATTGTATGTAGGTGGGGCCCTCGGTGCAGACTTCTCAGCCATTGCAACACTGATGCTATAGCCTCTCAAATCATAATCTGAGAATATAAAAACAAGATCATCCAAAAATGATACATAGAAAAGTTCGAACTAAAATTAAAACCACAATAGCTAATATTGTTTCTATAATACTATAGGAGAACAGTGGTTACTGTTATAGAAACCACCAGCAGAATGCGCTGCTTGGGGATCTTCGTATGATACACATGCATCGCCTTTGTTATTTCCCATCTCATCTGTATATATTTTAATGTTCCAAGGCCACTGATCCTTGTAGCCCCTCTTCTGCTTAATTCTTCCAATCTTCAAATTAAAAATGCAAAAAAATGCTTCAGTTAAACAGTTAATTATCTGATGCCAAATGCAAATAGATGAATGTATACCCATTATTTTAAAAAAAAAATGAAATAACCATTAGGAATGGCACATATCGCGACACATTTTAAAGAAGACAGAATATCTATTGCAGAAACTTCACTGGCAAGGAAAATAAAAATAGCTCTATCTCAAACAATTGCCACAGAGACAAAAGTAACTTTCTAGACATGGAAATATATTTTGAAAGTTTATACATTGTCTAATATAGAATTAGCAATCACATGGTACTTGACACTTTCCAATAAAGATAGAATACCAAAAGCAACAGAATATAACTGATTAGCAGATTACTTACTTGACCAATTCCACCAAATAGTTCTCTCAATTCATCAATTGTCACATCTGTTGGCAAATTAGAAACATAGATTCTAGAGTTATCACACGAGTCATCACAATTATCATCGCACTGTTTAACCTGCGCTGGCTCTGCTGCTGGTGTACTTCCATAACTGCCACCTCTACCACCACCAGTATTATAGCTTCCTCCTCCTCTACCACCAGAATTATAGCCACCTCTACCACCTGCATTGTAGCCGCCGTCATATCCAGCTGATGGTCCACCCCGACCGGCAGCACTCCGCCCATCACCTAGACTATCTCCACCATAGCCACCAGATGGACCACCATAAGTTGGAGGGTATGTAGTTCCACTGTAGCTTGCAGGGGGAGGAACTGCATCAGTCCCGTAATCTGCACTTCCACCATGGTAAGATGGTGGATAAGAGCCAGCCAGGCCACCAGATGAGGGTGCTGAGGAAGGGGGAACCTGACTGTGACCACTATCTTCTCCTCCCTGGTGACCACCGTACGAGTTACCACCTCTGTTTCCTCCTTCATTTCGGCCTCCATCGTGAGTTCCACTTCGACCACCATGGAAACTACCACCTCTGCCATTACGATTACCACCGTAACCCCCATCACCTCCACCTCTATTGTAACCCCCATCACCTCCACCTCTATTGTAACCCCCATCACCTCCACCTCTATTGTAACCACCATCACCTCCACCTCTATTAAAACCACCACCACCGCCGCCGCCGCTAGCACCCCCAGGTGAGGGTGCACCACACTTATTACACTCCACTCTCCTAGCAAAGTTCAAATTCCCACAGCTATATGACAAAAAAAAACACAAAAACATAGTTTCAACTATAAACTTGTAGAAAACAAACATAAGACAAGTTCCCTACGTAAATGTCTAAAATTTCTGCATTTAAGAATGGGAGTCGTTCAGTGTACCCATTGAAAATAAACTAAAACAAAAGAAGTCAGTAATAAACGAAGAAAGGACAAGCCATACCCAGGATTAGGGCAGACCCAATCACCATCTCTGCCGCTTCCGCCACGACCACCTCCGCCACCACGTCCACTGCCTCGCCCTCCGCGATCTCCTCCTTGATAACTCCCTCCGCCACTGCCACCTATATCGCATCAAAACAAAAGGCAGACAAAGAAATTGAGGCGAGGAAGAGCTTGCAACTTTTTAGGGTAAAACAAAAACAATTCACTATTAGCTTCACAATTAGATCCGATCGCTGGAAATTTCAGTACCAAGTACAAGTCACACCCCATCCAAGAGCAAAAATGGAGCTTTACAAATCAATTCTAAAGACTAAAACATGTCGAACCAACAGTTAAAAGAAAGTCTTCCGATCAGACTTATAAATAAAGTATAAATAATTCCTAGGTTTTTTCTTAGCAAGAAATTCATTTCACCCACAGATTCTTGTCACTAAACGATTAAGAAAAAAAAAATCTAAGAACACAAGAGAAGTACATACCTCGACCACCGTAGCCTCCACCTCCGCCGCCACCTCGTCCAGCATAGCCTCTACCGCCGCCGCCTCCCCGGCCTCCGCCTCCATATCCACCGTCACCACCCTTTCCACCATAACCACCACCACCGTATCCCCCACCACCCCCAGGGACACCGTAAGACGGAGGAGCAGCGTCTCCTCCTTGATCGTACATCCCAGACATTAGCTTTTTTTAGGGCTAACTCGAGAGAGAGAGAGAGACGTGGTATTAGGGTTGAATCATTTATGTGACCGTATAGATAGATAAAGTTTCGATTGCATTAACTTGGGCCGGCCCAGTTTAATGGATACAACAAATTAATTTTCAAGAATTTAATAAACAATGAAACCAAAATCCTAATTTTGAACTTGGATCATGAAGGAACCAAATTTTTGATAGGCCAACGCACTCTTTTATCTGGAAACAAAAATGCTCGACTCCGCTCTCCCGTAGCCAGCTCCCCTCCCACTAGGGACCCAACACAAGACATGTGTGTAAAACATGTGTGTAAAACGAAAAGGGCAGGACCCAACACAAGACCCGCTGGGCCTTCAGCTCCCCTCCCACTAGGGTTCCCCGGCTTTTAGCTTTCTCCGGTTTCCCTCTACTCAGGACCCAACACACAATTTTTTAACAAACAAATATATTTAATATGTACGTTAATTATCCCAAAATAGACATTTAATATTTGTCCTATAAATATTGTTTTTGAAACAAACAAATTTTTGGAATTTGTGCTTTAAATTTGCAAAATTAAAAAGCGAATATTATATTTTTTTTTAATAAATTTTGAAATCGAATCACTTTACCGAAACAAAGCTTGTGGGCAAGATGTCTTAACTAATTCCAGTAAATAAACTAGAAAAAATGAGACTAAAATTAATATTTTTAAATAAAATATAAATTAACAAATTAACAAATTTATAATTAAGAGACAAAAAAAAACTGAGTAAGTCGTATATCCGTCCTTCCTCAAATCAACTGTGACGTCAAGAAGTGAGGTGAAGTGAAGGGCAAACCCCAATTCTTTTCAATCCAGAGATGTCCACCACCGAGAAACCCGAACTTGTCTGCGTCACCGGCGGCAGTGGCTGTATTGGATCCTGGCTCGTTCACCTCCTCCTCCTCCGCGGCTACTCCGTCCACGCCACCGTCCAAAATCTCAGTAACACTCCCACTTTCATCCCTTTCTTTCTCCGCCTTTCTGTTCATCTTCTTCAATATTTGCCGGTAAAACTTCCGGTTGCTGCTTATCATTTGTATCTGATTTCCGCATGTTAACGAATGGATGGTTTGGATGTTTGATCGACAAATGCAGAGGATGAGAACGAAACCAAGCATCTGGAGGCTTTAGAAGGAGCGGAAGCTCGTCTTCGTCTCTTCCAAATTGACCTCCTCGATTATGACTCCATTGCCGCCGCCGTCTCTGGTTGCTCCGGCGTCTTCCACGTTGCGTCTCCTTGCATTGTTGACCCTGTAGAAGATCCTGAGGTGCGATATTATCTCACGAGCACTAGAAATGCAAGTTCTATTTCATGCTTTGAGGTCATAGTTTGTAGAAAATTACACTCGGATTATATTTGTAGAGGGATTTACTGGATCCAGCTATCAAAGGAACCATCAATGTCCTGACGGCGGCTAAGGAGGCTGGGGTACAACGCGTAGTGGTAACTTCTTCTATCTCCTCCATGATTCCGAACCCTAACTGGCCAGCGAATGTTGTAATAAATGAAGAATGCTGGACAGATATTGATTACTGCAAGCAAAAGGGGGTGAGTGCTTTACATGCTCTGAATCTTTACTCCGGCTTGAAAACTAACGATCTGAAGCTCGTATTGATAGTGCATGTTCACTTTTTCCCAATCCATTTGAAGCTCGTATTTTTATGACAGTTTATATGCATTTCTTGAATCTATTTGTCAACCAAAGTCCACGAGACGGAGTTCTTGTGATGATTGCATAATAGTTGGGATTTGAAAATGTAGCCAGATATTCTAATTTCCCTTCTTTTTTTGGATTTTTTTTCATCTTCTTGTAGCTGTGGTATTCAGTTTCGAAAACTCTAGCAGAAAAGGCTACTTGGAATTTTGCCAAGGAGAAAGGATTGGATGTGGTGGTGATTAATCCAGGCACAGTGATGGGCCCTGTGTTTCCTCCCAGAATTAATGCTAGCATGCAAATGCTTTTAAAACTTCTCAAGGGTAATTTCTCTCTTGATTTATGGAATACTCTCTTCAAATTGCAGACTCGCAGTTCAATTTCGACTTTAACAAATTGCAGCTAAAAATTCCAGTACATGAAGAAATTGATTTGCAGCAGGGTAGTTGTTGAACAGTTTAGTTGGAAATGAAGTCACAATTTTCTTTCTCATCGAACTTTAAAATCACTCTTAGCTTGTTTGATGGTTTCCTAAATCTGTGTATCTTGAAGGTTTCCGTTTTCCATCGAGAAAAATCATATAACAATTAGTCTATTATGAAGTTTCATTGGCTTTTCTGTTCTTCGGCAGGGTGCAATGAGACATTTGAGGACGTCTTTATCGGAGTTGTGCATTTTAAAGATGTTGCATTAGCACATATTTTGGTGTATGAAAACAAAGCAGCAACAGGAAGACACTTTTGTGCTGAGGCCATAGCTGGTTACTCGGACTATGCTGCCAAGGTTGCTGAACTCTTCCCTCAGTATGAGGTGCCCAGGTAAGGGAATTCATGTGATCTTATCCACAACTACTTAATTAGTGAAAAGTGTCTGCCAAGTACTGTTAGGATTGCATAACAACACACACTCGATCTAGATGAACACAAAAAACAAAACAGAGAAAATGCAAACTAGAATATTAGCTAGAAGGTTTATAGTGATGACTTTAAGGATATATAGTAATAGACAATACAGAATGCAGAGAAAATGAAAGCGAAAACTAGAAGAGCTCTTTTAGCTAACCTTTAGCCCTTTTGGCTGACTTTTAGCCCTTTTGATAGGGCACCAAGGGGAATGCATGCTATTTCCATTTCTTTCTATCCTACCCAACCCCAACCCAGCTATGTTGTCTCGTAGATAGCAAGGTTAGTTGATTGTTGTTCATGACAAGGCAAGGAAATTCATCCTACTGCCTAGATCTCATATTTCCCACGAGATCTCTTAATTAGCCAACGTGTGTCAAAATTAGTGCAACTTATTTTAGATGGAATTAGTCAAGTTGTTAAGCCATTCATCCTTATTAGGAGGAATAGTTTATTTCAGTAGAGTTTTTGTAGGAGCTATTTATAGGATTTATTTTTGTTTAAATAGGAGCCCTTAGCTTACTAAAACACACGCCACAGTAAATAGTTCATTGATTCAATTGTCCCTGTATTACTCTCTTTGAGTAATAATAGTTTCATATTTATTCACACCTTTGAGCGTGAGATATTGTGACAGTTGGTATCAGAGCCAAGTTGATACGGTTGAAATTATTACTCAACGAGATGAATGGTGGAAGTGCTTCTATGGGTATAGCTCTGGGAAAGTTGGTTGGCAATAACTATAGTTATTGGAAGTTATGTATGGGAAGCTTATCTACCGGGACAAGATTTGTGGGATTTAATTGAAGGTGATAACTCAGAAATTCCAGTCGATACTCCACAGAATGCAAAATTACGTTAACAATGGAAGATCAAATGCGGAAAAGCCTTATTTACCTTGCGAACTTTGATTAGCAAGGAGTATATTCATCACGTTCGTGATTTAAAGTCATCAAAGCAAGTATGGGATACACTTCAAAAGTTGTTCACTAAGAAAAATACCGCTCGACTGCAATTTTTAGAGAATGAACTAGCTATGGTAACTCAAGGTAATTTTTCTGTTGAAGAATACTTTTTTAAAGTGAAAAATCTGTGTTCTGAAATTTCAGAATTAGATGCTGAGAAACCAGTGAGTGAGGCTCGATTACGGCGTTATCTTATTCGTGAATTACGGATGCCCTTTGTTTCCTCAATACAAGGGTGGGCAAATCAGCTACAGTAATTGAACTGGAGAATCTTCTTTCCAATCAAGAAGCCTTGGTTAAGCAAATGACCAACAACAATGAGTTTTCCTCAAAGTCGAGAAGATGCGTTGTATGTCAAAGATCAAAGGAAACAAAATTTTCATTCAAAGCCTTCATCAAGTAATGTGAATCAATTCAGAAATGAGCAGTTGTCAAAGAAGCCATTTAAAGCTTGCTACAGGTGTGGAAAACATGGACATTTTAAACGAGATTGTCAGGTGAAAGTGGTGTGTCATCGTTGCGGAAAGCCAGGCCAATTAAGCCAAATTGCCGAGTCAAAATGTAGGAATCAGAAGCAAATGCTCTACATGAAAGTAAAAATTCTTCCGAACCAATTTGGGAATACTGCTTAACCACTGAGGTTCTTGATCAGCCAACAAACGTGACTTCAGCCATATATCAAGATGATGTCTCTACAGGTGATCAAAATTCTAATTCCACTACTTACGCTTCTGAATTTGATTCTCCCCAAATTTCGCCTCTAGACTCTCTTTTTTTCTCCGATGCCAATTCTGCTGCCCCTGGTGACCCTTCTGTTTATTTCACGACCTTGGATTTGGGATTCGACGAAAATGAAGATTTCGAACTAACCTTTAATGATCTTGACGCCTCTGAGGCTGACGTTTTCCTCATCTCCGATGATTTGGATCAAACTATCAATTTGTTAGACTTGTAGGCTGACCGGGAAGCTTCAGGGAGCGCTGCTGTTCATGTTTGTAGCTTTGCATGCTCTCCAGGATCTGGGAGCTCTATGTTTTCATGCAAGTAGTCCCCCAATGAAGTGAGTTTCTAGACTATCAATCTTCTGAATTAAGAACCGCAGATAGCGAGTGTTTTTTGACCCATTCTGGTGGATGGGACTCAGAGTTCGAGGATTGTAAATTGTCCTTCCCCAGAGCCTGAAACTACGCTTGCATCTGAACCTGAACCGAATCTTGAACCCGAACCAAATCTGAAATCGAAAACTGGATGTGAAGCTGAATCGTTTCGTGGGAGTGAAGATAAATTGGTAAATTGGTAGAAGAAAAGCATTTGGAGATAAATTGATAATGGTCAAAGGGAGGTTGAAAGTGAGAATCTAGGCCAAGTTCAGAAAGGCAGTGTTGTGGTAGAGGCTGAGTTGTTGGATAAGAGCAAGGATGTGGCTAAAGAGAGAGAAGCTTGCAGGAGTTGTTGGATAAGAGCATGGATGTGGCTAAAGAGAGAGAAGCTTGCAGGGATGATGCTGGTTTATCAGAAAGTCGGGATGTTTCGATTGATTTGGGGAATTGTACTAAGAATGAACGTGATGTTGTGGTTGACGAAGGTGACAAATTGGAAGACAATTTCAATTTGGTTGGTGAAAGAGAACAAGGTAATGGGATGGATGATAAGAACTTGTTAGAATCCTCAGTTTAGTTGGATGACTGAGTGCAAGGAAAGCAAGGGCCTCGATCAAGAAGTGAAGACGAAGAATTTTGATGTATCAGATGCAGAGGTTTCGTATGGAGAGTTCAAGAGAAAAAACTACTCCTATGGAACCAAATCTAAAATTAGCTAGAAATGAAGGGAAGTCATTAGCAGATGCAACATTCTTTCGTCAACTTGTTGGTAGTTTATTCTATTTTACTATCACAAGGCCAGACATTGCTTTTTCAGTAGGAGTTGTCTCAATTTATGGATCAACCACGTGAGACACATTTAATTGCAGCAAAAAGGATCTTTGTTATATCAAGGGCACTCTAAATCATGGATTAATGTATGAGAAATCAAAGTCATTTTTCATTGAGTGGTTTTGTGGATGCTGATTGGGCTGGTGACGTGAATGACAGACTCTCCACAACAGGTTTTTGTTTTACAGCAGGCTCTGTTGCAATTTCATGGTGCAGTAAAAAGCAAAGTACCGTTGCTTTATCAAGTTGGGAAGCATAATATGTAGCTGCTACAATGGCTACTCAAGAATACTTGTGGCTCAGAAGGCTTATTTAAGAAATGGTGACTACTCTCAATCCGCCAATTCAAATCAATTGTGATAATGAAAGTGCAATAAAACTCGCTGGAAATCTCGTTCGGAACATATTGATACTCATTATCATTTTGTTCGAGAGAAAGTATTATCGCAGGATGTTGAATTGCAGAAAATACATACTAATGAGCAAGTTGCAGACATATTCACTAAAGCACTTGCCAAAGTGAAGTTTGAAGCTTTTCTTAAGTCTCGTTATTAAGAAATAAGCAAGCTTGCACTAAGGGAGGCTGTCAAAATGAGTGCAACTTATTTTAGATGGAATTAGTCAAGTTGTTAAGCCATTCATGAGTAATAGTTTATTTCAGTAGAGTTTTTGTAGGAACTATTTATAGGATTTATTTTTGTTTAAATAGGAGCCCTCAGCCTACTAAAACACAAGCCAAGTAATCAGTTCATTGTTTCAATTGTCCCTGTATTACCCTCTTTGAGTAATAATAGTTTCATATTTATTCACACCTTTGAGCGTGAGATATTGTGACACGTGGAACTACTCCTTTCAACAATTCTCAACCAATACTACATAAGCAACTATCTTTTTTGTACTAATTAGCCAACCCGGAACTACTCCTTACTAGATTAACTTGGATGGGAGACATTTTTGTATTAGTTCTCCCATGGGGCTTCTCTACCCTGGGCGTTAGGTTCTTCCTCTTTTCGTTTTGATTATTATTGCACAAGGAAGTTTAGTTTGATTTTCTAAAGGAAGTCAGATCTTAATTTGGTTCTTGACCCTATAATCTAAAAAAGTTTCTAAGATCTTCATAGCTCTCTAAACTTTTCAAGGCGTCGTTCCCTTATTTCAGGTCGATAGAAGATACGCAACCTGGTTTGGTGAGAACAAAAGATGGAGGTAATAAGTTGATGAAGCTGGGGCTGGAATTCATCCCAATGGAACAAATCCTCAAGGACGCCGTTGAGGATCTAAAAAAGAAGGGATATATTTCCTGAATACGATCATCAAATGCCATGTAAGTTCTCTTTTCAGTCACCTAGTCGAGTCCTTCGTCACACCGACCTTATGTAAAAGTGCCTGAATGTCGATGTTAACGGAAATATTATGTCAGCCTTCTATGCCCTCAGATTTCACTTCAAAATAAAATGTTGTTTAGTTTCAAGATTTTCTTATCCGATCACAAGTTATTTATACAGGAGGAAATCACATTATGTATGATCGAACAAATAAGAAAAATTGCCTTGCTAATTGAAGACAACACGTAAGGTTGGAGATTTGATCCTTTGACCTTTTAGTCTAAAATGGTATATGTCTAAACCAGTCACTTTTTACTAAATTAAATTAAATATAATTTAGTTATGTAGTTTAAATCTAAATTAAATATAATTTTGGTTATTGTACTTTAGATTTCATTATATTTTTATTTATTTATTTTAAAATTTACCATTTAAAGTTAATTTTTAGTAAAATTTATTAAATTATTATAGTTTATAAAGATATTATTAATGTAGACTATAATTTTTTTTTTTTTTTAACAACAATAAAAACTTCATAGACTAAAATTAGATATCAGAAAATTAAAAAACTAAAATAAAAGAATCAAGAGTCCTTGAGAGATCATATATACATATTAGCATGGGATGATATGATTAACGATCAGAAATTAGTACATTCCTACTTACACCCGCAGGCAATAAAAACCCATATCTTAGAAACCGAGGGCGGGTCCCACAATAATAATAATAATAATAATATAGCTCATAAGAGATAGGGTTTTGGAAATTATTTTAAAAATTATGCAATTATTTTTAGGGTTATTCCGATGCCATTCTAGAAGGATTTAGTTGAGCTTGGTGTAATCAAGGCCGTTAAAACAAAATTAATCAACTATCGAGATTTAGAACAAAATCAACAAAATTATATATTAAAATGATGTCTACTACTAAGTAGGCATATAGCATAATGCTCACATCCCACTTGAAATTAAAATGCCCTAACTTATTAATATCATTCTGCTTTCGATTTTCTTTCAATAATACCAAAATTTTAATATCGTTTCAAAGATATATTTTAGCTCTAAAAAAATCTTTTTAAAATATTTAAAAATACATTTACATTAGTTGTACTAAAAAATTTAGATATAATCTATGCTAATAGATAGATTTCGATATATTGATGGTAATAATTTTTTTGAACATTTTTTATCAAAAAAAAAAAAATTTGTGTTAATGCTATTTTTAAAATTTTATGAATATTTTTAGCTATAACATTCTCGGTAAGAGAGTTTTTTAAATTTTTTTTAAATCTCGAACAATATTAATGAAACTTTTTAAAAATTATAGGTATGGTTGAAATATTATTAAAATGTTCACATTATTTCTAAATCATTGGTATGGATTTATTTATTTATTTATTTATATATCTTCGATAGCAATTGGATAAGAAGATTTTAAAAACCCCTTGAACAGAGATTTGAACAGAGAAAGACAAAGATTATGTCTCTACCCAATAACACTGTACACCCCTTTAGCAAAAGTAGGGCAGACAGGCAGACCTATTTAAAGATGAGCGACCACCACCACCCACCAAACACCACCGTACCCGCCGCCGTGAGCGCCGCCACAAATGTCGTCGAATCAATAGAAAAGATGGTAGAGATGGATAAAGTGATGGCCCCAAAATGCATGTTGGACAATACATAAGTGGTTAGATTCAGTACTCACCCTTTCAACTGTCCTTTTTCTTACATAAAAAAAACGATGTTGTTCAGTGTTCATAAACAAAGGTATATTAATTAATTCATGTGGGTAAACGAAAAGCAAATATTCTTTGCAAGTAAAACAAGTGCTGTAGAAAGACAAGACTAGTGAGTAGTGAGTAATGAGTACTCATACCCATCATCCATCATCCAAGTGAAGGCCCTCTAGGGTGACATCACACGTAATGCCAATAAATGCCCCCGACCCACCTCGACTCAGCACTTGTTCGTTCGCTATCACATAAGTGATAGTCATATTGTGACGGGTATCATTCGTATCGTCTTGAAGGTCGACCAAGACCAAGGATGAGTTTGAACAAGATTGTTGTGTATTATTTATGCACAATCTCCTTATAAACCTAGCAAGGGTATATGGTAACGGTTTATGTTAGTGGGACACTTTGGGTCATCCAGTCATATAAACGCTCGTAATTTATGTTTCTCATTGCTTATTTTTTTTCGAACAATTATGACCTTAAAAAGTTACTTAATAATTGAAGTGAGACTGTGTTAGGTTTATTGAAAATTATTGAAAGGAGTAGTACCTCATTGGCTAACTAAGAGTAAGTTCATGGGTTTATAAGTAAGGAACATTATCTCCATTGGTACGAGACCTTTTGGGAAAATTGAGCTTATACTCAAAGTGGACAATCTCATACCATTGTAAAAGGTCGTGATTCCTAACATGGTATCAGAGTCATACTCTTAAGTTAGCCACACCAATAAAATCCTCAGATCTTGAATAAAGAAGTTCCTAGTCTTAAAGGTATATTTAATGGTTCGACTCAATGTTCAAGAAAGGGATTATTGAGACGAGTAATCCCACATTTGAGTGCTCATGCTCTAACATTCCTTTATCATTTTTCTCTCGAGAAACATAGGAACATAATGGAAGGAGAGATTATCAATCATGATTTTGTGTAACTGCCTAAATCCACTACTAACAGATATTGTTCACTTTGACCGTATAACTGTCACCCTCACAATGAGAAATTTACAAATCTTTCCTGACCCATTAGGGTTTAAACAAAATTCATCTTGAAGTGAAAAAGATACAAAAATCAAAGCTTTTAGCCCTCTCTCTCTCTCTCTCTCGACATCAAAACCCGACCCAGTTCTTCGTTCATCGAAAAAAGTGCAAAAAAAAAAAAAAAAGTGAATAATGTTGAAATCCATGAATAAAGATAGAGAGAGAGAAGAAGGATGATGAAAAGATGTTTTCCACGAGAAACTTAGAACACTAAAATACCAAATCATACAACCAATCATCATTTCCCTGGAATCCATTTTTATATTAATCAAATTTGAATTTTCAAGATAGGTTTGACTGTAACGGGATGGCCACTACCCCTCTTCCCCCGTTATATATATATATATATATATACACGTTTGGCGACATGTCGTTTTCACTCTTAGCTTGGGTCGTGGTTTACTTAAATAGTAAAGACAACTCAAATAATAATAATAATAATAATAATGTTGTGCTCGAAATTGTAAATGTGTGTAATATTTGGGGTCAAAGTTGAGATTCAAGAAAATTAAAGGGGCACCTGAAACTGCAAAATTTGTCAGAGTATATAAACAAGATAATATATAAAAAGACAGAAATTTATTTGAAAATAATAATAGGGTTTTTGAGTGATTAAGGATCTATATATTATATTATATTATATTATATTATTAATTAAAACTCATAATCTCAATTAGAGGAGATTATGATGACCATGATGAGATACTATTTGAAGGAAAATATTGGAAAAAAAATGAGCAGAAGAGACTATACGGCGGTGGAAGCGGCGGTTGTCGACGGCGGAGGAGCACCACTCGGATCAGATGTTTCCGGCTGATGATCGACACTGGCCAAAACAACATGGGTCTCTGGAGGCACAGACAGAATAGCGGCGGCGGGAGCGGCGGCGGAGGCAAAGGCGGCGTGTCGTTTCCGCTTTTTTTTCTCGTAGGGAATCCCTCTGGCTTTGGCCTGAGATTCCCGAACCTCACGGAGAAAAATCCTGACGGCGCGTGCGGCAAATGGGTTTGATTCAGGGCGGCCGCCGTTCTCCTCGTAGGCGGCTCTGAGGCGGCCGATCAAGGCGTCGAGGCTGCCCCAGGCCTGCTTGAGCGGGCAGGGGCAAGGGGCAGGTGGGTTCGGGTGGCCGAAATAGGGGCAGCCCGAGGAATGGACCTTAGTCTTCCCGAACTGGTCCAAATACTTCAAGAATTCAATGACGTGAGCGCCACTGCAACGCGCTAAAGACAGTGGCGGCTTGTGGTTCTTCAAATACTGCAAGAACGTGTTCCAATCCCTTCTCTTCTGAGATTCATACCGGCTCGCCGGAGCTGGAGTTGTCGCAGCAGCCGACGCTCCGGCGGATGATCTCTCCGACGGCCCACCACCAGGTTTAGACACCGGATCCATGATGGGGGCGGAGGGAGGGAATTTTACTAAGCGGAGAGCCTGAGGTTTTGTGTTTTGGGGAAAATCATGGAAATTTTAGAGAAAGAAATGGGAAAAATGAAATTATATTTTTTATAAAAATAAGAAAATAAAAATTCACGGGAAAGGTTGAGTGTGTTATTTTTGTGGTGGAATTATTTATTTTTATTTTTTGAAAAAAGAAAAGGAATTATTATTATTATTATTATTATTATTATTATTATTTAGTTGAATAAAATTGGGGGTCGGAAGGGGAGAAAGGAGAGCGTTTTGGTGATGGGACGTTAAAAGCTTAGATGAATGAATTCAGAGAGAGAGAAAGCGTCAAAATTTTAATAAATTTATTAGGGGGAGATTTTGTACGCAGATTCTCCCTATATAAAATTAACGTCACACTCTCATATATATATATATATATATATATATATATATATATATATATATGGTAATAATAGTTAATAATATTAAACAAAATTCATAAATGAAAATATTAGTAAATACTCTAATATTTTTAAAATATCCTTCAAATTTTAAAAATAATATTAACCTACTTAATCTTTATTAAGAAAATAAAAAAAAAAATTATTACCTTTAATATATGTCCGGAAAACCATCTTCAAATTTTTTAATATTATTTTTGAAAGTTTATAGGTATTTTGAAAAATTTTAAAAAATTAATAAATATTTTAAAATTTTAAAGATATTTTTTCAATATTTTTCGAAATAACTAATATTTTTTAAATAAAGTATTAATGTAGTCATGGTAATTATCACGAAGATTCGTCATTGGTTTTTATTATTTAAATTTTGTTTATATTTGATAGTAATGACTTACAAATTTTTAATAATCTAGTTTGTATTGTTTGATTAAAAAAAAAATAGTGAAATGGAGAGATGAAAGTAAGTAAGGCGACGCGTCAACATGATGTGCGAAGTCCACGCGCTTTTCGCATAACTTCACGCCCGACACATTTCAGCCCTTCACGCCAACTGGACTGCGTGTATTTAACGCACCAAGATTGAGTAGTGGTAGTGCTTCGAATCTCATGTCAAATTTTTTATTTATTTCTTCCTCTTTTTTTTTTACAATAAAATCTCTCATTTCTTCCTATAAAATTAAATATGAGAAACTTGTTAAATTTGTTGGTAGATAAAATATTAAATTTCCCATTTATTATTTTATTATTATAATTTATTGTAAAAAGATAGATGTATCTAACTACACGAGTGATGCCCATATTGATACAACTACAAATTTGAGCTCGGATTCGGTCAAATAAGCCTTAAGCATATTGAACCTAAACTCGATCCAACCCACTTGACCTCTAGAAAATTAAACTCAATCCAATTCCGTAATCTATTTAACCTAACCCAATTATTATAATTCGAGTTAAAGTATTAGATTTTGTTGTTATTGAATTTTATTGAGGATGAAGGTCAATTTGGGCATTATGTGCAAATAAGCATTACAATTAATACAAGGATTTAAATTATAAATATATATTTTTAAAAAATGTAAAATAGCAAAGGTGGGAGTGCTTATGGAATGGGAATCAGAATTTAAATATATTATGATAAAACATTTAATATTCTCTAAATCTCTCTATTCTTAATTAATTTGGCCTAACAAATTTTGATATTAACATTAAAAAAAAAATTAATAATGAGAGAAATTAAAAAGATAAACGAATTTTTAAAATTATCAATTAAGAATATTTATAAAAGAGAGTAAGCCCGATGCATTGTCTGAGAATATAATCGGACTTACGAGTATAATTAATTAGGTTTATATCAGCATAATCAGAGGTTCTAACTATTGCGATGTCGAGGGAGTGAGCGTGGTCGATATTTAACTGCAGAAGCACGAAAGGGTTTCAAATTAAAACGTTGGACGTTTTTTTGAAATATCATCTAACATGTTAAATCAATTTTGATTTTTGACAACTGAGCTCGTGAGCACCCCCTCACCTCAACCAGCACCATCGTGGACTTGAAAAAGAAAATGGAGAAAGGAATGAGTATATAAATATATTTTGTAAACAACCTATTTGTAAGCTCTCATTGCATCCTTCGCCTAGCAGGTGACCATGGGCTATCACTAGGATCTAGGCATGTCGTTCTTGTTGTGCACCGTCTTAAATAACTATTTAGCCTTTGTAGTGGTGTCTGGTGTGTAGAGTTGAGGTGCTACCTCAAGATCACTCTCACAAGCAGGTGGGGACAACATGGTGAGTGTTTGCTCGTCATCTATGGGGGAAGTTGGTGAACCCATCCCCAGGTATGGGGTCGCCAAAGTTCGGGGGCGTTACCCTTTGTATGTACCAACTCTATTGGCTACCTTCATGATCAACGCTCTCCCACAGGTCAGATCCTCTATGCATGGTAGCCCAGCTAAACTCTCTCACTCAGGTCATACAAATCCTAACCAGCCTCACGCCTAGCTCAATAGTACCAAATTGGAGTGGAAAGAAAAGTGGAAGCTCCACAGACACCGCACAAGCTGTTATTGGCGTACAAGGTACCTTCATTCCTCTCAAGGTAGTCGTGGTGGTCATCTAGGTCTCTAGGGTGATTTGGCGGTCTTGATGAAGTTCAACAACTCCTAAGTTACTCAATTTCGACTCTTGAGTCTAGATCTGTCAAGAGCATGGGGTTTCACCTTTTGATCATCACTCATGATTCCATAGTACTCATTTTCTGGAGGCATTCCGTCCCAGGTCATATGCTAGTCAAACTAACTCATGCACTCTAATCTTAGGTCATTTCTACGGCTAGTCCTCTACAGGGAGAATCAAACATTCAATCACCTGGAGCTAATGTACTATCAACTATGCAAGCAATCAAACATATGCTCAACGAGGCGATATCATCCATCAAACACCCGAAGCACAAATACACAAAATCTCGCCCTCCAATCAAGCATGATAATGTAAAGCAATATAAAACGATAAAATTCAACTTGCGAGGTTCAATTCAACCATATCCAGATGCCATAGCAAATACTTGTGCAATTGTCCAATACTCCTAGGTACAAATCATACTAAACTAGCCATCGAGTCGATTTTACTAGCATGCATGTAGATCCAACTAGTTCCTACAAGTATTACTTTCTAGAAGTCATGTGTGATTACTTACAAGTCTACCACATGCCTTCCAGAGTGCAATTATTTGCGGAAAAAGTCCCAAAAATCCCAGAAAACTCAGAGGAATCTAATTCACGCAAAAATAGGATTAATACTAAAATTGAGACGAAAAACTAACCAACCTGCATCAAACGGGCGAGAAGTAGGGACTCCACGTGTCATGCAACCACACTCAAAGCACCATGCGTGAGCAGCTCAGAAAGCGCACGGGCAGATCTTGGCTTGAAGCCGGCATGATGAATGTAATTTACCTTAGGATTATGTGGTTGTGACATGAGCTCGACTTCAATGGACAATATGCATAATCTAATGGGACACAAACCTTGAATCATACGTTGAAGTAAATGAGAAGAAAATTAAATGAAATCAATCATTGATCAAAAGAGTGCGTACAATAAAAATAGGTGGTGGTTGAAAGCACTGATGAGCTTCAAATGTGTTGGTACTACACATGTCCTTTGACCTATTTATTACTCCCCCACCCACCCTTCATGTCCAAGAGTGAAAAAATCTAGGTAAGTGAGGACAGAGCAGGTTGGAAAACTCAGATTGGTTATAGGGATAGTCTTCGCACTTAAAAGTAAAGATCGGATAATCTGACTATGTCACACTAGATAGATGCAGGGAAATATTGGGACACACATGGGTCATTACAATTAGGGTTTCGGTTGGAGAGAATAAGAAGTTCGACTTTGTGTGGATACTACGACATGCCGGTACAGAGAATAATCTGGTTATGTCGCAATGGATGCACCGAAATACTGAAGCATTTATGGGACGTTACATTTAGGGTTTCAGTTAGATAAGAAGAAGTTCAATTTTTGGATACTATGATACAGAAGTGCAAAATAATCTGACTATGTCGGAGTGGATAGCTAGGGTTTAAATAATTATGGTACTTCAATTATGTGTGTAAATATACCATTCATTCTTGTATTTATAATTGAATAATAATAAATATATTTTTAACAATTCCACTCATTTAAAGTTTCTCAAATTGATTTCTCCCACAAAGCTCTCAAATTAATTTCTCGGTTCAATCCATTGCGGGTCTCAATCTTGGTCCAGAAACCGGCCCATTGCTTTAGTTGGGCTTTTCCATTCCTTTGTGGCCCAATAAGTTGAAGTTGGGCTCAAAACCTTGACGAAGCCCAGGTGTTGGCATCCACTTGTACTCAATCATTCTACGAAGGGCTGTTGAGTTGAACCGGCCCAGCCCATTTCCTCCTACTGTTCTCTCTCCATTTTCTGCTTCACAAATAAAATACTCGAGAAATGACACGGTGGAATCAAATCGGAACAATCTTAAAAAAGTGGAACCGAAATGAAAAATTACCTTGGTTTGGTCGGGGAGAGACGAGGTTGCTCAGCTCCGGCGGCGGCATTTGGAAAGCATTATTATCCCACGCATTGGCTTCACTCTGCTGCTGCTGCTTCATTTGGAGCTCCCTCAGCCTGTTCACTTCAGCTTTGTTCTCTTCTATTTCAGCTGCAATAATTATTCTAATTTTTTTTAAAAAAACCCTAAAGCAAAACCCCTCAAATTAAAAGTTTATTCGTACCTATTTCCGTGTCTCGACTTTACAAAATTTCTAATAGGTCCCTCAATTTTGTGTTTAGGAAGTTCAAAAATGTAACCGTCCAGGCCCACCGCTAGTAGATAGTGTCTGTTTTGGCCCGTTACGTTTCACCGTCAGCCTCATAGTTTAAAACGTGTTTGCTATGGAGAGGTTTCTACACCCTTATAAAGAATGTTTTTGTTCCCCTCTCCAATCGATATGAGATCTCACAATTCACTCCTTCGGAGCTTAATGTTCTCGCTGACACATCACTCGGTGCCTAGCTCTCATACTATTTGTAACAATTCAAGCCCACCGCTAATAGATATTGTCCGCTTTGACCCATTATGTATCAAACATGTATGCTAGGAAGAGATTCCCACACCCTTATAAACAATGTTTTCGTTTTCCCCTCTAACCGATATGAGATATCACATCAAATTTTAAAAAATGTGACCTAATAGACCCAAAGTTAAAATTTCAGAAACTTACTAAAGAATTTGAAAGTTCAGGGACTAAACTTGTAATTTAACGATATATTATAAATATTAAAACGTCACCGTCTCGTATCAGCTTGTTCCTCGAGCAATTCAAAATCTTCTGATTCAACCTCTTTTGTTCCATTTGCAACACATGCTGTTGGTTCCTAAACAGCTCGACTTGAGGAGATAGAACAGCTATATGTGCCTGTATTCCATACATTTTTATCGATATTTCTATAAAATCATGTGTTCGAAAAGATTTTTAAAGAAATTTATACGTTAAATTATTAATTTTTCAGGTAAAACACACTTTACTAATTTTTTTCCAAAAGCGCTAAAATAATAAGTGTTTTACTTAAAAGCTCAAATTCATAAAATATTTACTATTAGGCTTAAATACATTTTCGAGGTCGGATTCGTTCATGTATCTTGTTTTGCTTTAATCTTTTATCATAACAAATCTTAGTATCGATAAAGTATAGAACGATGAAATTGATATCAAAACCTTAGTATCGATATCAAGTTTGAATACCTCGAGAGCTTTGAGCTTCCTTTCCATATCAGCTACATATTGAACTTTTTTAAGCCTAGATTTTTGAGCCGAGACTCGATTGGACATTATTCTACAACAAAAAAATCAAACCCTAAATTAAAAAACACCAAATTAAAACGAAGATTTGTAGGTTTTAGGGTTCATTACCGTTTGAGTTTCCTTGGATCCATATTAGGGTCAATATTACGCCCGGAATTTCTGCTGTCGCCGCCGCCGGAGCTCATCTCTCCGCCACCAATCTTGCTTAAAGGAGGCAACCCATCACTCCGCCATCCATCCACCGCCCTCCCCCCGCTGCTGCCTTCCTCGTCTCCGTGGCCCGTCATGAAAGATCTCCGCCATACCGTGACCGAATCGGTCGATAAACGACGGTCATCGGAGCCGAGTTCATTGCATGGATGAGGGTTTTGATGCAAATTATAATCACCCATCTGAAACAAATGGAAGAAGAAGAAGAAGAAGAAGACATTATGAGAGAAGAACAAGGAAGAACAAAGAAGAACAATTTGATTTTTGGTTGCAGTAATTAAAGAAATGAGTGTGGGGTTTGATCGTACTTATCTTAATCCCACAGAAACAGAGAGAAAAAGTTTAAATTTTGAACAAAAATGGAGTTTATCTGGCCTGCATTTATACACGGAAAAAACACTAAACTTTACCATATATTCCTTATATACTTTTAATGCTAATAATTTTCATCATTTTTTTTTCATTTTTTCATTAATTATCATTATTTATATATATATATACACACACGCTTCAAATTAAATATATTTTTCTATCATTTTTCATATTAACTTTATAAACTAAACCGATACAAAAATGTATAACACATGACGTTTTAATTTAAGAACAACAACTAAAAACTCGTAAATATTTTTAAAAAGTATCGTATTTAGAAGAAAAAACTCTAAAAAAAACTTTAAATTAACCCATCTTTACAATTTGATAGACAATATATTTATGTAATTTAACCTAAAAATTAATAATAAAGTTCTCGTAGCTTTACTTTTAGTTTTTACAAAATGTCTGGTAGAGTTCATTTTTATAAAAATTTTAAGATTTTAAAAAATAAAATAAAATAGTAATTATTTGCACTATACTCGTCTACACGACCACCTTCAAAAGATAGAACTTTTATTAGTTTTGAACTATGTTCAAATTGGCGGTTATTTACGAAAGTTGAAATTGTGTAATCGATAGTAGCCCAATACTATAGTTACGTATCGTTGCCAGTTTTACAATTTTTAAAACGCGTCTATTAGTGAGACATTTACATATCCTTATAAGAAATGTTCTGTTCCCTCTCAAACTGATGTGGAATCTCAGGATTACTTACTAGAGTCGTTTGTTGGGTTTTTTTTAGTTTAACAATTGCTGGAGTCGAAATCGACACTTCCATCTTTAAAACAGTAATTGATGTCTTATCTACAGTAAGTCGGGCTCGAATCTGTACGGTATAGAATTGTTGTGTGCTATTGGGATGATAAGAATAAGAAAGCTGTCAAATTTTGTGTCTATGCACATGAATGGAGGGGAAAGTTGCATTGGTTTGTTGGAATTTTCAAACCCAAAAAATCAAAATTGGTATTATAATCATTACAGTTGCGCCCCATGCACAAGCCTATGGGGCTTTATTTCTCTTTATCTCTAACAACTTTCTTTTTTTATTTATTATTTTTTTATTTTTTATCTTATTATTATTATTATTATTATTATTATTTTGTGTATAATAGCGACCCAATTCTCTAGGAGTTCGAATTTTTTAAACAATTTATTTTGATATAATTTTAAATTTTATATTTTGTGTCCATGTATGACAAAATTATAATTTAATATTTACTCAATTAAAAAAAAAAAAAACTCATAAATTTGTCCTTTATTTAAAAAAGTCTCATATTCTTTTTTCCACGTAATTACAATATTATTATTTGACTTTTCATGAATATTTTTGTGAGATGTGAAGGGGAAACTTCCTATCAGACACGTTTTAAAATCTTGAGACTAACAGTGATACATAATGAGCTAAAATATACTTAGATTATTACAAATGATATTATAGTAAACCAGACACTAGACAATGTGTCAACGAAGACAATGAGCTAAAGAGGGTGAGTTGTTTAGTGGTGCCTTTAATATAAAAAATTACTAGTACAACGATTTTATAATTAATTTTTTTTCTTAATTTCATTTATTAAAAAATATTTATTAGAGTTTAATTATGTTGTAGAAAATAATATAAAAGATTATTCCATAATTTTATTATGAAAGAAAATGAAATTTCAATATATTCTTTAAAAAAATTAATTAATTAATTAATTTTGTTATAAAAAGAAGATATTTAATTGACTTGGAAGATATTTAATGCTCATAAATCTTTTAACTCCAAATTTGGAAGAAAATCAATGGTTTTAATTGACTTTTTAGTCCACATTTTAATCCTTTCTTTAAAATGAATTATAATAAATTTAATATCTCGCCTCACTCACATATATCCAAATGGGATAGAGAATCTCCGTTTAGATAAGAAACCTGACCAAGAACGAGAATTATATTCTCCGTCTTTGACCTCGCTCCTCATCCTTCGTAAATCTCGTCTTCGTCTGCCTATTTTAATTTTTTTAATCGAGCAAAATTCTTGTTGGGAACTCAATTCTCCCGAATTCTTTGCAGGAATTTCTCTGAAATTTTATAAACAGGGTGACATGAACAACTTTCTCGTCTTTTTCGCTACTATACATCACTACTTAGAATTTATTTTCAAGTCTATATTTTCTATGATTTTTTTTTCACATTAATTAATTTATTATATTTGACTTTATTCCATTAATAAATTATACATTAATGAAAAATGTTCATTGAGAGCACTATAACCTACCTATAAAATTATACATTAATTTCTTGATTTTTTTTTATTTTACATTAAATATAAAATAACGAAATGGACATATATGTAAATTCAACTCTATAGGCTTAAAAAAAATATTATAAATAAGATGGAAAATGGAAATGGAGAAAAAGGAAAGAATTTGTTAAAAAAATATTATAAATCGTAAGAAACTATATTGGAATATAGATTTTTTTTAAATATAGTATTAATTAAATTTTAAAATTTTGAGGGTTTATATTATAGTTATATTTTTATTATGGAATATTATTGTTTTTATTATAATATTTTTAATTATGGTATTATTAATTGAAAAAAAAATTGCCCGATATCGTGAGATTTTTGGATATATGTGACACCTACTTCATAAACGCTCCACTCTCACACCCTCTATCACCAATATAGTTTTGTCTTTACCCTAAAATTTAGAGAACGATTCAAGAGCACTTCCGAGAGAAAAAATGAGGAGCACACACGTAGACAAAGATTTGGAATTTTAGCAGGATTGTTGTGACATAAGAGCTTAGGAGTGTCCCAGTGTTGTTCTCTGAGTGAACAGTGATAAAATGAGTGTTGAGACTTCAAAAAATCGATTGGAGAAGAAAAGGTATTAGGGTTGTAATTCAGGTAGCTGTCGGGTGTAGAAGGCGAAGTGAAGTCGGTTCGGATTCAATTCGAGAGACATAAAACCAACAAGTACAACCCACAACCCAACATCCCGCACCCATTTACTCATGGGCCATGCTAAATGCACAAACCCATTTCGACCCTTGACTTGAGTAATGACCCGCACATGCCGCACTCCCAGTCGTAGCTCATCTTGGCTCATCTGTCGACGCACTCCTCGACTTGGTTTCGGCGCGGCTTGGCCGCTTAAAAACAACATATTGGCTCGGTATATGATTTTTGTACCGTTTTCTACGTTTCAACCCTCTTGAAGTTGTTTTTTACCTTGTTGAGGGCGTTTGAGGTTTGTAAGACTCCCACTTACTCAATTATATATAGTTTTAGGATAAATATTGGGAGTGATCCGTGTATTTGGTTAGACTAAGTTTAATAATATGATATGAGTTTGTATAGGTGAAGTTAAATATTGAAGCACAGTCTATAAAATAGTCAAGTACTTCGCTCAGACCAAGTAAGTGACTTTATTGTTGGAGCTATAAGAAATGTATGCATGCGCCATAATGTTATGTTGTGTTTAGGTATGCTATGTGATGATGTATGATGGCATGTTATGTATGCACGTGATTTCTTAACTTGTCTTGATACGAACAAAATGAAAAACTATGTACGTCATGCTATGTTTTGTCAATGTGAAACTCTTCTATAGGTTATATGATGATGCAAGATGATAGTCATGATGATCGATGTGTATGCATGACACATTCGTGAACTCTAACATGGATGAAAGGAAAGAGGGAGCAATTTTTAAGTTTAGCTATGATTTTTACACTATTGGACTTCATGCATTTATGCATATCACGTGCATTGAAATACTTCTCTATTATGTTATGTTAGTACGGATTCGTACTTTTGAAATTTATGTTCTTCATGATATCATACGAATCTTTCCCTTTTTGTGGCGTCCAACGCATTAATGTGTTGTGTCCAACAAAGCCAAGCCCATAAATATGTCTACGAACCTCCCCAGTGAGTCTATGTTGAAGGCTAAACTACGATTTTAAAGAATAGGTCACATCAGTATATGTTTAAATCCAACTCATATCTTACAATTTTGTTGGTTCATTTAACTCGCTCAAAACCCACGCAGGTGTCGGCGACTACGCTCACGCCGAGGGGACAACTCGAAGTACTATGCTACCATTCGGCCTGCTGAGCCCCATGGCCAGCAGCCAATCCACCTCTCTCAACTGAACCCAAAATGGCTGCAAATCTTCAATTTCTATTCCATTCGGGGTCTTTTGGCCCTTCGTTTCCCTTCAGTTCCCCAACTTTAATCTCTCGATTCAGACCAGTTTCCGTCTCTTTCAACTCCATCTTTGCGCCGATCTTCCGCTTCGATGCATTCACTTTGAGATTTGGGACCAAAATCCGTCGGGAACGGTGTCGAGTTGCGGCAGCAATGTTGTTGCCTGATAATCCGGTGGTGTCTGATATCTGCGCCACCGCCGTGTCCGGTGGAGTCGCCTTGTCTTTGCTTCGATTATGGACGGAAACCGCTAAACGTGGCCTCGACCAGGTTCTATTTCTTTTATCCACTGAATTTCCTTTTCTTTTTCTTTTCACATGTTTCTTAGATTTCTGTAAGTATAATCGAAAAAAAAGTTAAAACTCTAAGAAACAAAAGAGGATTTCAACTTAGAAGGATTGCTCGTTGATATTCTATTCTTGACCGTAGTATTAGTACTGATATACCATAGAAAGTGATTGATTCAGTTCAACAAGGCGCATGTTCTGTGTACAACGCTGAAAAATAATCAATGTTATGGAATTCTGACACTGGAAAATGCTTATCAGTGGAAATGTCAAGGCTTCAAATTGTGAAAATCCAACTTTTCAGTTCTTAATTTTTATGGAAGGTGTGTTCTTACCGATAATTGGTTCAGAAATTGAACAGGAAGCTTGTTCATACAAGCATTGGGCTTGCTTTCATGCTTTGCTGGCCTATGTTCAGGTGAACTTAAGAGTGATAAAAGTTATTCTGGCCCTTCTCCTGCTCTATATTTGTACAATTATGCTTGAATCAACTTCTTATTGCAGTTCTGGTCATCGAGGAGCATTATTGGCGTCGCTTATTCCCGGTGTCAATATAATACGAATGCTCGTCTTGGGATTGGGGATATTGAAAGACGAGGCTACGGTAAAGTCAATGAGCAGAAATGGTGATTGCAGGTACAACTTTGTATCGAACATAATCATGTAAAATATGTTTTTGGGGAACATGTATCCTTTGGTTCGTTTGGAATGGCATTTTAAGCACTTAGAAAGCTACTCTAAATAGGCTCGTTGTTGATTTGAGCCTCCTATCAAGACTAATCTCTGGATATACATACACTTAGCCAAATGAATTTGGTCTGTTTTTGGTAGTTAAATGGGAGGATAAGGCTTATTTCTTGCTGTTGAATCTTTGGGAAGGAAAATTTTCCACTCCTTTGTTGGGTTTTCCTTCTATTCATCGTGTAATTGTGAATTAGCCATAGATCACCGCTAGCAGATATTGTCCTTTTTGTATTTTCTCTTCTAGGCTTCCCCTCAAGGTTTTAAAACGAGTTTGTTAGGGTGAGGTTTCCACACCCTTATAAAGAATGTTTCGTTCTCCTCTCCAACCGATGTGAGATCTCACAATCCACCCCCTTTCGTGGCCCAGCGTTCTCGCTGGGGTTTCTACACCCTTATAAAGAACGATTTGTTTTTCTCTCTAATCGATGTGAGATTTCACAAGCCATTCCCTTCGGGACCCAGTGCCTCGCTGGTACTCGTTCTCTTCTCCAATCGATGTGGGACCCTCCAATCCACTCCCCTTCGAGGCCCAGCGTCCTTGCTGGCCCACCTCCTTGTTCCACTCCCCTTCGAGCTCAACCTCCTCGCTGACACATCGCTCGGTGTCTTGACTCTGATACCATTTATAACGGCCCAAGCCCCCCGCTAGCAGATATTGTCCTCTTTGGGCTTTCCCTCGAGGTTTTTCAAACGTGTCTGCTAGGGAGAGGTTTCCACACCCTTATAATGAATGTTTTGTTCTCCTCCTCAACCGACGTGGATCTCACTCATTGTTTGCCGCTGGAGTTCTTTTTGTTTCCCTTGTAATATCATTTACTGGTTCCTCATGGCTGAAAGTTAATACTGATGGATAACTTCGTTCAATAGTAGTACATGAAATATATTTACTTCTTAATTTGACTTGCATGTTCTTATCCATCAGGGAGCTTTTGAAGGGGCCATTGTATTATGTTGCAACAATTACATTAGTTTGTATATTCTATTGGAGGACGTCCCCCATTTCAATTGCACTGATATGCAACTTATGTGCTGGAGATGGTACTTTTCACTTTTGTACATTAACTTATTACCTCTCCCCAACCACAAAATCATAACTTACCCAATGCAACAATGTGGCTTACTATTTCAGGGTTGGCTGATATCGTTGGGAGACGATTCGGAAGTCGAAAGATCTCTTACAACAAAAACAAGTCACTAGCTGGTAGCGTGGCAATGGTATCTGCTGGTTTTCTTGCATCTGTCGGGTAAATTCTCTCTTTGTTTTGGATTCGAACGTCGAGTATAACGACTTACTGTGTTTGTGATCTTTCTGGGTTGGTTTAGTAATAAGAATTTGTATTACGAATGACAGGTATATGTACTATTTCTCCTCATTTGGGTATGTTGAGGGAAGCAACAGAATGGTTTTGGGATTCTTAGTTGTGTCCATTGCCTCAGCATTGGTCGAGTCTCTTCCCATAAGCACTGAGATTGACGATAACCTCACAGTTCCACTCACTTCCTTACTGGTAGGGAGCCTAGTTTTTTAGTATTTGGGAGCCAAAGCAGAACGTTGCTACAAATCCTGCTTGTTATGTATGATTCTTATGTGGCTTGAACACATTCTACTGAACCATATCAGGCATTGGTAATGAAAATCTATTAAAGCCATTGTTATGAAATCCATGCCATTATATCAAAGCAAAAGGCGTTTAGTGAAAGTCAGTTAGCAAGCCGTCTAAACTCCGTTTCCACTAGAGTTGGTACTACGAAAAGGAATGTTGTGGTTGGCTTATGAAGCACACCCTCAAGATGTACTTTTATGTGTAAGAAAGTATGTAGATTGGTCAAGAGTTGTGCCAAATGTTGAGTTGGGGCAAATTCGCCCAACAATTGACCAATAGAAGAATGAGAACGTAGTGCCATATGACAAAAAAGGAGTCAGAAGCACCAACTCGAACTTTTCCCCAAGCTGACCAAGAGGCGTCAGTAAGATAAGTATTATGACAAAAGAGAAGTCAGGTTTTTAGTGAATTTATACTTGTCTGAAGCACGATAATTGTCAATGAATCAAGTATTGGAACTTGAAGATGCAGAGAAGTTCAAGTTAGAAGATGAACCCGAGCTACTCCATTGAAAAAAAAAAAAAAGATAGGACACAAAATAGAGGAAAAGAGATTAATTTTTTAAGCTGTGTAAATTTGAGGGCCTAATTTTAACAATTACGTAAGTTTAGGGTTCAATTGCAAACCACTATAATTCGGGGTGGGTTGATTGAGAATTATTTTGTCTAACTTGAAAGTTTCTTTTCTAACGTGAGTATAACAATTGAAATAGGTTTTATCAAAATAAGACGAAAATAACAATAATAATAATAAAAATCAAAGTATTTACGTTCAGTTGGGATAACAAAAAAAATTCTTAAAATAAATATTTATAAATAGTTAGAGAAGAAGTAGTTATAATTTCCGTTGTCGTCCAGCGGTTAGGATATCTGGCTTTCACTTAGGAGACCCGGGTTCGATTCCCGGCAACGGAAATTTTTTCCCTATTTTTTTTATTTTATTCGATGCCCATTTCCTTTTTCTTCTTAAGTTCTCCACTTTTTTCTTTTTTGCAGTTTTGTAGGTTCCCAGTTTCTATGGATTTGTAAACTCTGTCCATTGTGCTGCGAATTCGATTTCATATCAGTAAGTACACCCTGCCTTCCTGCGTTTTTTCTGTGTTCCTTACCGATCTAACAAATTACGAGCATTTTTTTTTCCTCTTTGGAGATATTTCCTTTTTTTTTTGTTATTTTGTTTGATCGTTAGCTGAACAAATTTGTTAATTTCAGAATTTTGTAAATCTTCGCTTTAGTCTTTGATTCAATTTCGGCTATGAATCGAATGATGATCTTTGAAATTGCATTGATTTTCTGTATTTTCTTCCGAAAAACTGTAAGTTGCTTGAAATTGGGCAAGTCATTGTGTTTAATGACATTTATCCTGGTTATTATGTTTCTAGGCCTATATTGAAACTCGTCCTGCTTCTAGATCCATGTCAATGCCTCATGAGGACAGTGCATCTTCACATACTCAGGTAACTTTTCCCTGTATATTTCTTCTTGTTTTCTTAATGAGAAATGAAGTAACAGCTATAATGACTTAGGTAGACCAAAATCTTAAATTAATTATTGATATGGAATATGCGTGATATGAGAGAACAATGGCATAACACCATTGATGTACCCCGAAGTATTTTGAACGGCTGCAATCCGTCGTGTCCTTGAATCGTTTCCTCATGAGAAAAATAACAGTGTAACTTGCTTAACTTTCGAGCTGTTGAATAATCCTAAAATAAATCAAGCCAACCGGTTATTAACTATGAAGAACCTACCCAACCAGTAAGCTTTCTTTCACAGATTTGCCCCACCTCAGTTTAATAAGACTCAACAAAATTGGAATTTCTAACCAGTTGTTTACCACGAAACTGCATTTTCGTTGTCTTTGAGATTATATCTCCACCAGAGTGTCTCTAGATAAATGGCACGGTTTAGTTTGGTGTCTATGTGAAATGGGTTAGTTTTTCTTTTTCAAATAACAAGATTGGGATTTCTAATATGTTACTGTTTGTAGTAAATTTTCTTTATTGTCATTGGTATGTTCCAGAAATAGAATTGTAAAAAATATGTAGTGTGTATATGATTGATATGAACCACGACCAAGGAATTTCCATACCTCAAGGTCCAATTACAAGGACGAGTGCCAAGAAGCTACAACAAACCTTATACAGTTATATTCAAGCTATGATGAGTTCATCAAAGGAAATTCTAGAAGATGTTGGAGACCTCCCTTATATGTTATGCAAAGTTGAGCTTCAAGAAAAAGATGAATTAAATGCACTTTAAGTTGCATTTAATGAACTCCACTGAATTTATGAAACTAGTCAAAGGATGACTAATAAGCACATTTTATTAATTACATTATTTAATTATAGTTTAACTATTTGTTTGTCATATTTAAGCTAGTTTTAAGTATAAGAGTTAAGGTTATATTGTAACCCACATAGGTTACTATATTCCACCATTAACTAGCCCTTTTAATATGGAGGTAATGGGTATTTCTCATTTACTAACCCATTTAATTTGGGAGTTATGTATCACATAGGTTAAAGTTGTAAAGGCTATATAAAGCCTTCTTTTCTTTGATTAGACATCAGATTTTGGAATTAAGAATAGAATTTCTATTTTAGCTTTGCTGAGAGCTAAACTTTCTTTGCAAATTCTTGTGTTTAGAACTTGCATGTAGAGTCATTCAAGTGGTATTGATCAAACCTCTTGTGGAGTGATTCGAATCACGAGTTTAGAAACGAGTTTTCTTTACTCTTGATCTTGATCATCAAGGTAATCCGTTCCATACTTTCCCTTGGGTTAATTTCCATATCAATGATATTTCTCCCCGGATTGCTAGGAAGATTGAGGTGCATCTAGCTGGTTCTTTTGAAAGATTTTATTTGTAGTATCCCAAGTTCTCTGCTAGCAGTTATTGTTCTCTTTGGGGCTTCCCCCTCAAGGTTAGTGGTGGGTTGGGCTGTTACAAATGGTATCAGAGCCAGTCACCGGGCGATGTGCCAGCGAGGACGCTGGGCCCCTAAGGGAGGTGGATTGTGAGATCCCACATCGGTTCGAAAGGGGAACAAAGCATTACTTATGAGGGTGTGGAAACCTCTCCCTAGTAGACATGTTTTAAAAACCTTGAGGAGAAATCTGAAAGAGAAAGTCCAAAGAGGACAATATCTGCTAGGGATGAACTTGGGCTGTTACAGTGAGACTGATAGCGATATGTAACGGGCCAAAGCGGACAATATGTTTGCTAACGGTGGCTTGGGCTGTTACATTATTACAATGGTCTGTCAACATAATGTCTCAGAAGTCTAAAGGTGGTCACTAGCTTTTCCTCTTAAAGAGCTGAGGGGTAACCCTCGACATGACATGAGACATTAGCTTCAATTTTAATAAAAACTTATACAAATCCTAAATTTATATGACCATGTATTGCACCACACACGCCAAACGAGAATCCCCGGCATCTCAAAGAAATTGGATAGCAATAGGTTAAACTTCCACAACTCATGTATTAGCATTCTTACACGGAAAACCTTTATTTATTTTAAGAATGTGACAAATTAAGATTATTCTTCTAATCAGTTCAGGAGACGAGGCATAAAAGACATTAAACCTTAGATGTACATGGAGACACAAGTCTCTTGATGGTTCAAGGAAGATGTAAGTTTTGAGGCTAAAAGTGAGAGCCTTGTCTCAAGATGAGCTTTTGTAACAATGGTTAGCACCTAAACCAACATGTCTATCCCAATGAATTTCTTCAAAGCTCCGTCTAACTTTCATGTGTGTGAGAAAAGGCTTTGTCTAAGTATGGGTGATGTGTCAAACATGCTATGAAGATTCAAGAAGTATGGTAGAGGACGCAGAACTAATGGAACTTGTACTTCTGCTCCTTTGTGCTTATATTTGCAGCTTTCATTTAATTTGTTTGGTGATCTCCTGGATTCCGTGATTGCCGATGTTGCATCGGAATGTCATCGAATAGCAAGGTTAGGTCTTGATCGTAACTTAGAAGAGGAAGAAGAAGAACTAAGACTTTCAGCACAGGCACGTGAAAGAGTAGCTGATTCTTGCAATAGCAGTGAGGCAAACGGGAAATATGTAGTTGATATTTTTGGACAAACTCATCCTTCTGTCGCGAACGAAATATTTGATTGCATGAATTGTGGTCGATCAATCATGGCTGGGAGATTTGCCCCTCACTTAGAGAAGTGCATGGGAAGGGTAACTCTCTGCTCCTTACTTAATATATGTTTTTCAGACACATTCTGCTTCTATTTTTTGTTAAATCTCTTTTCACTTTGTCTCATCAATTGTGTATTCTACTATAGGGTCGAAAGGCTCGTCCCAAAGTAACAAGAAGTAGTACAGCTGCACAGAGCCGGTATTCACGAGGCAATCCTGTTTCATATTCCCCTTACCCTAATTCCACCAGCACGAATCGCTTACCTAATGGAACATCTAGTCTTGCAGGGGAGGAGTACTCAAATGGTACATCCGAAGACCCATGAACAAGAAAGTAATGTTCTAATTATTCCAATTTAGGAAAACATATTGTAATCTAAAATGTGCTCGCTATCTCCTGTCATGTTCAGTTTTATCGTACATGTCTGGAATCTGGATATATTATGATCTCATTACTTTCGACTGTTCCAAATTTTGATGTTGAAGATTTTAGACAGAAGTTCGAAAAAAGGAAGTTAAATGCAAGTCCAATTTCATATCTTCGACGATCAATCTGGATATTTTGTCGATGTGGGATTCAATCTTTGATGGCCACCCACTTAGAACAGACATAATGTTTTCAATGTTTCAAATATTTGTAAGATGGAATAATAGTTGAGGATCATTTAGAAGTAGTTGCTAGCTCCAAATGTTTCAAGTACTTCAATTTGCTTCTTAAAACTCCAGTCCTTATCATACTAGATCCTCCGAAAGAGGTCACAAAGATTATGAAGACCGTTCAATTCTTGCCGTGTTCATTTCCTGATAGTGCCCAAGGTATTTAGCTCTTTTGCTAGAAATTCTTTTAACAATTTTATGGAAGCAAATTGCAGGAAGGTGGTCCAAATGATTGCCACTCTATGCATCCGTGGTCTCCACGTTCCACTTCCATCTGCTCAAAGATTTCAAGTCTGATTGCAGGGACCATCATGCGGTGCCTGGAAGCGTATGAGACCTGAATGGCTGATTTCTTCTGTGTGCATATTGAACAAGAGTTGTGTTCAGATACGTCTCTCTCATACAAACCATTCTTATTTCTGCAATACAATTGCTTTGAATTTTCGACTGCCAAACTTTTCAATTCTTAGGCTAATAACAAAGGAAACGTTTGGTAATTGCTTCTTGCCCTTGCCCATTTGTTTTTGTCTAGTGTAGAATGTGGTTATTACTTTTATAATTGTTAGATACTTTTGATTATGCATCCAACTGTCAATGATTAATTTCTTTAATTCATATATACCACAAATTAGCCACTAATGAAGTGCAGGTGCTCCACTTAGCTATAAAAAAGTAGTTTCTTGAGAAGATTTGGAGGAAAAAGAAGTTTCTACCTCTCTGTCCTTCCCTCTGTCTAGCAGGAATGAACACATCATCAAACACCGAAGGTATCATTATTCTCTTTATTTTAATCATGATTAGAAACTTTATGAAGTCCTTATAGTTATTACCACGCATGCTCTTATTTGAAAAGGTTATCATTTGCTCAAATAAAAAAGTGAGAGGTGGATTTCCTTCTCGTTCTGCTTTTATTTCATTTTCTGTTTTGGCTTGATCCTATTTTTCTTATCATATTTAAGATGTTTAGCTGTCACTTTTTGAGTGGATCTCTGAAAAATATTGTAGTCAGAGGATTACATTAATAATTTTCATGAAACTGATGATCTTTGTTTTGTAAGATACTTCTGGGAGTGTTGGGTTTGTGTCTATTTTTGCCGATCGTATGCATACAAATATACATGATTTATTAATTGAGAAGCATTTTTTCTTGGGGCTTGAAAGTTCATGTTAACATGTAATTGTTTCAAGTATTTATAGTTTTCCACGTTATTTCTAATATTTGTTTTGCATCTTTAACTATCTTAAGCCAAATTATTCTATCATTTTCAGTGGATCTTGACTTTGAAACAAACTTATCATGTCTTCCTAAGGTTGTTTGTAATATTGTCATAATTTCATTATAAAGAGATTTTTCTTCTTTTTTTTTTTTTTTTTTTTTTTCATGTGTAAACAAACAAGATGGTTGACATTTATATGATCCATAGAAGATTTTCCTTTTAGCTTTTAGAATTCCTTCATGTTATTTATGAACTTCCCATTAGATTGAACCAAGATCCAAATTTTTTGACACATCATACTTCCAGTTTGAGTTAAGGCCACTTCGAGATGATTAGTTTTTGGTTAAGGGGTTGAACGACTTAGTTTCGTAGCGACTTTAGATACTTTTGTTTATATGAATTGAAGCAGCACAAAAAAACAAGATGAAATTATGCTTCAAAATGTCCTCTTGGTCCCAGTCTGAATAGGATTCTGAGTATGATGTTTTTTTACTGCGGGAAATAAGGAAAGAGGGTAACAGCTAGGTGGAATAATAAAGAACGGACCACCTTCAGGCTGATGATTAAGTTATCCCAAAAACGCAGAAAGAGATTGGTATTATATTCTAGAGTTTCAAAGGACACTGCGAAGGTGGCTCCAAATTGGGGAAATCTTTTAAGATTTTTTGTCACTGTTGTGAAAGTTACATCATAAAAGCTCCCACCATTCCAATTGGACATGGATTTTCTGGATATAGACCTATCTATAGGACATGTTTAAATAACTTTTTGAGTGCTTAAAAAAGGATCATTTAAGTGTTGGAAAAGTGTATTTTAAGCACTTGAAAAGTTATTCTAAAAAGGTCATACACGACATGGAGTTAGAAAATTGTAGTATGGTGGTACGTACATACAAGATTCGAGTATCATTTATATGTTGGATGGTTGTTTAGTTTGTGATTTATTAATACTGATATGATTTTGGTCTTCATACTTCTCTTGGGTCTACAAAAAGGGCTGGTCTTGTAGTTGGTGGGGTTTTTGTCAACTCGTGAAGGCTATTTCTTGCTTCTTTCTTCAATGCCTTTATGCACCATAAATCTTCGGGGCATGACAGCAATTTCCAATGTGGAATCTCCTCTCTTAGTGAGTCTTCTCCTCCAATCTCTGTTACTATTGCTTTACAGTCCCTTGTTGTGGCTGCCACGTTGTGCACGTACTGGCACAACGCCCTCACCAGCTTCCCCGTCCTTGCCCCCTCTCGGTGAACCCCGTACATAAAGTAGAATCCGAATGGTTCGTAGAAATTTGGTATCGATGGTAACTTTAGGCATGGGAAGATCTTGTCTATCACCTTTGAGCTCTCTGTGTATATCAAGCATGACAATGGTGCCTTCCCAAGCCGCAACTTGAATACCTTGTCGAGAAAATTAATGAAATGAGTAAATAACCTATTGGCTTAGCAAGCAAACTTCTTTGGATAAGTTGTAGTTTAACACTCACCTCTCCACTATTCCATACGCTCAGCATTGCCCAGCTCTTTGGTATTGTCATTTCTGATTTGCTGCCACTTGTTTCAAATTTGGCAGAGGAGGCGTCGTCGTCGTCTCTATAGTAAGCAACCCATGTACCTAGGCTTAGCTTGTGTCTAAGAACTTGATCAATGTCGTGGGGGAAAAACTCGGTAGAGGCCATGAATTTTCGGTAGAGATACTCGGCATCGCCAACTTTAAGACGAGAGATTTGGATATTGGAAGGGAGGTGATATGATCGGTAATGTTTCACTGGGTTCACCAAAATCGCCGGAACTCTAAAGTTGGTGTATCCAAGCTTGTAGATGAATAGTTTCACAGAGGCTTCATTGTCTTTCTCCGTTGCCATATATGTATAGTCTACATCATTGGCCACGAACCATTCCTCGAGACACAGGACAAGGTTGCAACCAATCCCTCTAACTCTATCTGCATATTGTCCATCATAGCTTCTTATTATCAAAATCTCTTCTTCGCATCCCATTTTTCTCTCCCCACTTCTTCGTTGACACAAAAACTGATACATATATATATATATATACACACACACACAACTAGCTCTCTCTAGCCACTAATGTATATATATACTGCAAGTTCACTCAACCCTTTAAAAGACATAATGGCTAGCGGCTACCTTCCCGGCCTTCTCTTTAGTACAAACTTGAGGTGCTTCAAATTTCTTGAGTCTGATCATTGCCATTTTATACCCAACGGTTCAGGATTGTTAGGAGAGGAGTCCCACCTCGACTAATTAAGAGGTTGATCATGAATTTATAGGTAAGGAATACATCTCCATTGGCATGAAGCATTTTGGAAAAACTAAAAGTAAAGTCATGAGAGCTTATGCTCATGGACACCCGGGTTTTCAAAGAAGAGGATTTCTTTATTTATTTAGTTTAATTAGATTCTTACAATATTAAGATAGTCTAGTCTCATGTCATAGACCAAGCTCATTAAGAATACTGATCTTCTGTGTGTCCCATATTCATTGGTTCATTAATTAGCATACAATATTATTCTTTTTTTTTTATTAATGTCCGATAATTTTGATTAAAATCCCTCTGTTAACTGGTGTGGATGTAATGTAAACTACTTATAAGAATATATATATGTATATATATATATATGTGGGTTCTTTTAAGCTATGGTTTTTTGGATCCATCTCTAGTTTGTCGCCACTTGCCGGCGGATAAAGGGAAGAAAAAGGTATATTATCTCTCCCCATCTTGGCCTAAATTTTAGTGCATTGAGCTTTGCCTAAAGCAAAGTGCTTGTGGATTACTTTAATTCATTTGTTTAACGAAAACCCCTTTTCGTTAATTAGGTAAATAATTATTCCCTAACTTTGTCTCTTTTGCCTATCAAATCATGTCTGTTCAGCTAAATCGGATCTTAATAGCTATGTTTTTGTATCTGCATTTGTTGAGTATGATATTAACGAAAGAAACCTACGGTCGGGTATAGGACAAAGTTGAGAATATCTTCCTGACATTCGAAGAAAGTCGAGATAGAATTTAAGCTATTTATAATTGAGGTGGTCCTCTTTAATCACTTTCTCTACAATGGGTTCGAAAATGAAAGTGAAGCCTCCACTAAAAAGTCATGTCTATATATCTTTCTCGAATTCTTTGTTATATATAATATGAATGAATGAAAATATGCACATTGATACAATGTATATACTCTTTGTATGGCTTTTAAAGCGTGCGCATTTCTTTCCATTTAACCAAATGCGACAAATAAGTTACTATCATAGGCTCCATTATGCTTTATATATAAGATTTCAAATTATACGAGTTTTTGTCATTGTCCGATCTTTGCTAAATAAATAAAGAATTTTGTGGGAATAGGAACAAAGACATCCTATTTTGCTCGGTTAACATTTTTAATATAAACCTAACTCAACAATAATTATGATAATAAAAAAAAATTAAGTTCTATCACTGAATGCTAAAACTTTGTTGCAGAGAAAAGATGTATCGAAGTGTCTCATTCTTATACTATACTATAGATCCACCTGAGGTGGTTGCGTTTACCATCTTATCTAAAGGTCAACTAATGAGTTGTGGTGTATCAAAATCAATTGGCCGCCCACCTCTTTGTTAGAATCATTTCCAAGATCTTCCTTTTGGCAATCTTAAACTTTTGATGAAACAAGATAAACTCGTTTTCTTCAACCATTATAGAACACAAATATATATATTTTTTTTTTAATTTAATATATTATTTATACCTTTCCATATAAAAATTTATTGTATTCGGGTTCAAGTCTTGGCAACAAAAGGTTTTTTATTTTTTTTCGAGATCTGAAAATAAGGTTACAATCCAACTCTATCCTATCCTACGTTTAAAATCATTATGAAATTTAAGAATATTTTATGTTTGTTGATGCATTATGACGGAATATTTAATATTTGAATTTTATGAAATTTTAGTTATTAATGTAATCAGCATAATGAATAAATATGATTGTTTTTAAATAATAAAAAAAAAAATTGACTCAAACACCAGGCTGGTTGAGTTGGATTATGAACTCAAAATTTTGGATTGGTTTAAAAGATTCCTCTAATTTAATCAATCAACTCTTAAATCAAAGATATGACTCCGTAACAATCGACTAGGACGACATATTGTTCATTTGGGCTGAGGCCCGATACAATAATAACTCCAATAATAGCGATATTGAATTCTAGCTTATATTATTTATATGGGTATGTAGTAAAAAATATTTATTTAATAGTATCTGCAAAAAAAACCTACGGGTATTTAATATTTTATTTAATTATTATCTGTCAATAATTTGGGGGAAAAACAAATTTGGTCACTATCATTATTTTGCTATAAATTAACTGCTCCATCCAATATTTATCATATTAATTTCCACTGACATGGAAAGTAATAGAATTTATATATTAATTAATTAATTAGAATAAATGGTTGTTTTAAAAGAAAATAATAATTAAAAATAGGAGAGGGAATCAAAATAGTTATATTTATTGATGTATTTAAAGAAAAAAAAAGTGGAGAGGAGAGATTAAAAGGTAATATAAAACTGGGAATTTCCGAAACTTAAGGGGCACGGGGAGTGTGAAATTACGACTTTGGTCATGGATCTTATGGGCCTTATGGGCCTCCTCTGTAAATCAAAAAAGCACATGTGGGCCCCACTACTACCACCCTCCACTAAGTCAGTTTGACCATGCCCTAAACACGACACGCTGGAAACATTGACCTCAAAACATGCAACTTTTTTTTTTTTAATTTATTATTTTTAGTGCATTTTCTCTCTCCTCACATTCCAAAATTTTTCTTATGTATATTAACAATTACCATTTGTTTGACTTTACCCGACACATGAGTTGAAGTCAAACCTTTTCAAACCAACCCAATAATGATCGGTCCAAAATATGGAGGAAATGGATTTGAAAGGGGAGAAGGGGACGGTGAATTGATTTAATTAGCTAGAAAAACAGATTTGAAATTGAGGAAATAAGTAGAGCAGAGATTATACTACCAAAATAAATATATTGAGTCACGTAGCTTAGGATGATAATTGATTTGATTCGATCGAAAACATGAAAACAGTTTTGAAAATTGAGGAAGAAGACGGGACAAATATTTAGAAATTTGTAACAAAGACTATACTACCAAAATAATTACATTAAGTCAACAATAGTTCAAGTTCGAGTAGAATCCGTTGACAAGAGCATCAACCAATTAAGCTAGAGATGATATCATAATTGGTCGGTTGACAAGATCCTCAACCAAATGACGGAGAAGTGAGGGAAGATATCATGATCTAGTCAATTGCCAAGAACCTCAAACAAGTGAAGGAAGATATGAGGATCATACTTTGTCACAGAATTTCAAACTCTTATAATGCATAGCATTCTCTAATTATTCATTTCAAAAACAATTTTAAATATATTTTTATTGTTTGATTTTTAAATTTTTTAATAGTATATTCAAAATTAACTTACAATGAAACGTTGAAAACTATAGAACTACTTCTGAATTCATTCTTTTTTTTTTTTTTTTTTTAATGAAGATTTATAGGCTGTATAATTTACTAATACTACGGAAGCAGAGGAAGTTGAACTTAATGAAATTGTATATCAAAAAGTGGATCAAAATTCTGTACACATGGCGGATCCAATGCTTCGATTATTCAAACATCCAATTCGTCGCCATCGGAGGAGGGGAAAATCCTCCCGTCCGATCTGTTTCTGCTCAACATTCGTTTCAAAGACGCTCCAAGCGACATCAATGGCTGATCAGTCGAAGAACTCGACGAAGATAAAGAAGAGGAAGAAGAAGAAGAAGAAGAATCAGAATAAAACTGACCGTTTTGCCCCTCGTTTCTCTGAATCTCACAATTGCTCCGCTCCTCCGTCACAATCTCTCCTCCGATTTCCCTCTCGCCACTCAACCGGCCGGATTCTACCGCATCGGAACAATCCGCGGCGTCGCCAAGCACCGGCGCTCTACAAACAGGACAACTCGCGTGAGAATTCAGCCACATATCGATACACTCGAGGTGAAATCCATGGCTACATTTCGGCAAGCGTCGTCCAAGCTCTCGTTCCTCAAATTCGCTGAGGCAAATCACGCACTCCATCACCGCCGTGCACTTCTTCTCCTCGGATTCGTAAACGAACAGAGGAATCGCAGAGATTACAGACGGATCGAGGCCTTTCGACGGAGCGGCGCCTGAATCGAATGGAACCGAATCAAAACGCGAGAGGCGAGGCGGACCGAGGACGTAGGAGACAGTGACAGAAGTCCGGCGGTGGCGAGGCTGAGGGAAGAAGCAATTGGCGTAGGCGTGGAGGAGAAGGACGAAGAGGACGACGAGGAGAAGAGAAATGAGAGCGGCAAGCATGATGTTGCTGTTGTAGGAGAATATGCTCTGAGCGAAACCGATCAGCGAAGTGGAATTGAACGCCATTGTTGGTGGCCGGAAAAGGTAGAGAAAGTTGCAGAGAAGCGGTGGGTGCCGTTACCGGCGGAAGGAAGTAGAAGAAGAAGAAGAAGTAGAGTGAGAGTGTTAGTTATTTATGGCAACGAATCTTTTCTCCGTGAACCCAGACGGGGTCTCCGTTTTTCGGATTAAATCGCGGGTAACGTAACATTTACTTGAATGCCCCAACTTTCTTAATTATTATTATTATTTTTTATTTTATATATTAAAATATACTCTATTTTCTCCCATTTTAGATTAAAAATTTAAAACTAGTTTAAATATTTCCGTATATCCATATATGTTAAGCAAGACAAGGCAAAGAATTGGATGGGAACGGGGACAAGGAATATATTCCCATCCACGACCCCATTTATCTAACGGGTAAAAACTGTTCTTCCCTCTCCATTCTCCGTCCAAACAGGAATGTCCTTATCTAATAAGTAGAGATATCGAGTTAAACGGAATGGAGAATCTTTGTTTTCTCTCACGCTCCCTCCTTCATTCCACGTTTAAACCGGGGACAAGGGAGAGAATGAAAAGAGATTTCTCCCCGTTAGCTAAATTGAGTAAAAGACGAAGATTATATTATGCCAAAATCTCGGCCCGAGCTCCACCCTAGTTATATTATTGTAGAGTTACATTTCATTTATTTACATTGAAGGGCGTGTAATTTAATAATGTGGAGGCATTAATTACATTTATGAATAGAGTCAATATTTTAACATTATTAGATGAATAATTGACATTGTAGACACTAATTTTTCTACCATTGCGTGTACTACTCATCCATCTCTCTCCTCGAACTCCATAAACAAAACCGGCTCAAATGGAGGACTCGTGAAGGCGACGGCAACCCGGTGGCCGGTGGCGGCGGCGGCGGTGGGTCTCAACCTTTTTTTATTGTTAAATTCACTTTGAATTTGGGTTTGGGTTCTAAATTTTGGTTGTTTCCGGTCATGGGTACCATGTGATTCAACCTTTTTTTTGGTGACTAGTTATTGTAGCGGTGTGTTTTGAATAATTGAGCTTGA